TTGAGTGCAGTTTTGGGGTTTTTGTTTCTAAGCAGATGCAGAGATGCAGGAAGCGATTTCCACTCTAACTATTGGGGTGGATGCTAGTCACATCCTTCTTTTCCATGCTCCAGCTCCCCCAGCTCCCTGGGGAAGGGGAGAAGTTTCAAGCCTCTTTCTTTGGTGCCTTCTAAAAACACAGAGCCTGCGATAGGCACGCAGCAGTTAAAGGAACAGGGCTGAAGTGTTCACAGAACCAGGGATCAATGCATTGCCTGCACCCCTCAGCACCCCAGCCCTGCTCTGGCTGATCAGCCACAGCTCCAAGCACTCGGAAGGATCAAAACCCAACCAAACCAAGCTGCACTCACTGCCCTGAGCAGTGCCCCCCAGTGCTGTGGTGATTAAATAAGCAGCGTCAGGTCATGGTGATCAATTTATCAGGCATCACAAGAAAAAGCAACATGAAATTTGCTTTATTGGAAGCGGGCTGGAAAGAAAAATGGCTCTCAATATGTTTGAGGCTTAGGGCTGCACATCTCTGCTGTCGTTTCTCAGAGGTCTTTTGGCAATCCCACACCTGGGGTCCTTTCTTATGAAATATTACAATCTCTAAAGAGATCACTTTGTTTGCCAGCGGGAAAACCCACAGTAATAGGACATAAAAGGAATTTTAATCTCCTTTTAATTATTTTTAAATGCCCACTTGACACTTCCATCAGAGCAGGAGATGGAAGGGATGGAGGGAGTGAAAAGCTCTGCTGGAGCAGAGATGGGGTGGCTGGGGATGAGATCCCCCTCTATCCCTGGGGTGTGATGTGGTACCCTTGATTCAATCTCCTTCCCTCACAGGTCAGGGAGAGGAGGAGACTCCCTGGATGTGATCCCCCTCCCTTCCCAGGCAGGACTGTCACAGGGACACAGGACAGGCTGGCAGTGCCACATCCTGGACCCCTCTGCCTTGTCAGCCTCATCCCAAGCTTTCCCCAGCCCCTCCAGCCTCTCTGCACAGATGAAATACCCAAGCCAGGGCACTTAACTGCTCCAGTTCCTCCAGAATAAACTCAATTCCAGCCCAGTGACTTTGGCAAAGCCATCACAGATTTACACCAACACCAAAGAACCAGACTCCCCAAGCCCAGCACATCCAAATTAGTGGAGTTTTGGGGATTTTGCTCAAGCTGATCCAGATCTGCCCAGCTGTCAGCAGGAACAGCTGGGCCAGTGGTGGGACCAGTGCAGCTCTCTGGGGCTGGTGTAGCTCATTAAGCCAAATCCTAAAGCAGGGATTTTTCCACTTTTCACTTTCTCTCATCCCCTCCCTCCCTAAATGTCTTTTTATTCAAAGAACATAAAAACCTACAGCAAAACAAGAAAGGTAAAGGGTGGGGGAGAAAGGAGTGGGAATTTAATGCCAACCCCAGAGCACTGAGAAAACACCTGCCTGGTAATTTTGATTGTCTAAAGCCACAAACACCTTGTTTAAGTCCTCTGGATAAAAGGCTTATCAATACAAACTTTCAGTACAAGTGCTAAAATATAGCAGTATATGCTCAAATATAGCAGCATATACACCATAAATAGTAAAATATGTATATATATATATAGTGTATAGACATAATATAACACTCTAAATAGCAAGGCTGATAAAAGCCAAGTGAGCTCTAAAAATATGGCAGACAACACAAACTTCTCCACTTACCCCATAATTCAAATGCTGGTGATCTTTTGCTAAAGTGCACTCATGAATGCCACAATGATGGAGCCGTAATTGTAATGGAGTCATTTAATTTGGATTTGGATGGCACAGCCGAGCTCAGAGGAGACAAGGCATAAAACTCCCGTGCTCACGTAAAGGTTAAGGAGCTGGTCATTAAGGGAATTGATTTGGAGAGCTGAGGTAATCTTGTGGTTGAAGTCAGAATGGCACTTTTTATCTAATTTACACTGGAAACATCTGCAAACACCAGTGCAGTGGTGGCAGGCCAGCAGTGAGTTTTGGGCTGGGACATCACACAGGTCACTTAGCCCAGTGCTGTGGCAGCTCTCATCTGCTGCCACGATTCACTTTGGGTGCATCACCGAGCGATGCCTGAAAATTCCAGGAGTGAACAGAAATTGCCGCTACCCCACTGCCAGCATCCTGGAGAGAAGGGATAAAAGCAGCTGGGCTGTTCCTGCACGGCCAGACACGCACGGAAAGGCAACAGACCCAGCACGACTTGAAAAAGGCAGGCAGTGGCTGCCGTGGGAACGCTCATCCAAGGCTGCACAAGCAAATGCAGCCATGGCGTTTATTCCCTGCTCTGCCTGAGCAGCTGCCACAGCCACAGCCGGGCACCTGGAGCACCCCGGCGGGCACCGAGCGCATCCGCGGCTCGGGAAGTTTGTCACGCTCAGCCCGGGATCCTTCCCGAGCTCTGCACCGCCCCAAGAACGAGCTCTGACAACTTCTGTCAGCACGGCACGCCGTGCCTGTGAGGACAGCGGGGCTCCCCGGGCAGACAGCTGCTGGCCGCAGGACAGCGGGGGAAGAGGAGCCCGAGCACGGCAGGGAGCGGAGCTGAGCTCCATCAGACACGTTCTGCCGGGGGAGAACAGCCCCTCCTCTGGGGCTGAGAGTGTCTGAGACATCAGCCACACAGCCAGGGGCTTGTGTTAACGAAGTCTCTCTCCTCAGCTTTGTCTCTCTCCGTTACGGCGTGCGCTCGACTTCCAGGACCAACCCAGCTCTGGTTTGTCACAGAATAATCTGAGTTGGAAGGCATCACAAGGATCATCGAGTCCAACTCTTGAGTGAACGGCCAAGAAAGGGATCAAATCCCCAGTCGTGGGGTTATGAGCACCAAGCTCTGACCAGCAGAGCTGATGTTGGCCATCCAACGCTGCCCCACTGCAGGGCAGACCAAGAGCCACAGTGGGGAGGGCAGGACACAGCGAGGCTGGCTGTGCCTCAGGAGGGCAGACACCACAGCCAGGGGCCTTTGCAGAGCTGTCAGTGCCCCAGATCCCAGGTTTCAAAGGGAAGCAGAGAGCACAAAACGAAGCCATCACCCATCACCACCTCTTGTCCCTGCAGCTGTGCCACTCTGAATGACACCCAAAACATCGGGCTGAGGTATTTGTACCTCAAACCTTCAAATGCTGCTCTTGAGCATTGCTGAAGGTGATCTCTTCATTTCCCCCCTCCCAAATGGAGCATCTGAGGGCAAATTAACACTTGGTTCATTTTAGAACCTCAGAAGGATTTAATAGAGCTGTACTGTAAATCACTCTGCCACTCTTCACAAGCAAAATGTTTCCACCATCACGACGTGGGTCATAAAAACCCCCCTAGATGTAGAAAGAACCCAGGAGCTCAAGAAGGTGCCTGCAGAGGGCAAGTGATGAATTTGTTGCTGAAAGAAGTTCAGCTCACAAGGAGACAATTTCTAAGCTGCTTTTTCCTATCAGGATCATATTAACAAAATATAGCTCTTGGCAAGCCACGTCCTCCAGGAATTATTTCTGTGCAGGAAGCACTTAGTTTCACTCAAAATTAATAATGTCTAAAAGGCATCAATTACATTATATTAGAGAACAAACAGAAAGTGATGTGAATTACCCAGCAGAGTGGGATGAATTGGAGATGAAGTCATGGAGTAGAGCATTCCTGACACCTGGTTCCTCTCCATCCCAATGCCATAACAAAATATGTGGGGCTTGCAATCTCCAAGCCACAAAATTGCAGACTAACAACTGAAAGCTTACCCTGCTGTTGTCCTATCATTAGGAACACGAGGAAAATAATTCCTACAAACCTTTACTCTGCTGTCAGGATTGCCAGGGAGTCATTTCCAGCCTGGAAGTCGTGCCCTTGCCCAGGGCACTGATTTAAAGCCGGGGCAGGGAACACACAGGTCGGCAGGGAAGAAGTGTTCAAAGCTGTGCAAGATTAATGTGCTGTCAGAGGAAGGCTCCACATGGAACAGGCTCCCAACAGAACCACTTTAGCTTATAATGGAAAAATTAAAGCACAAACAGCTGGAGAACAGCCTAGTCACGCCAGATCCCAGCTCTCCACACGCTGCCTACAAATTGCTGCTCTAAAAGTCGATTCTCCAATTCGATAGGTTTGTGCCTCGGGAACATTCCGAGCAGAGCCCACCGGCCACAAGATCAGCTCTGGGAACGGTTTGGGACACTCAGACCTGGGTTTGCCTCAGAACCTCGCGTTTCAGGCGAAAATCCCACAGTTTATGGAGTTCTCCCCCCACATTACAGCTTTTATCGACAGCCCCCATGCTGCTATGGGCTACAACAGGTCTCCAGGGCATGTGGAGCCGTGCTGGGAGAGCGGGAGCCCTCAGTTCAGTTGTGTAACCGTTCTCCTTCTCCCCCTGGAACATTCAAAGGGGAATCGGGGATCTGCTCCTGCCTCGGGCAGCCTTTGGGGAGGTCTGTTCTGCTTCTCCGTTCCTCAGTTTCCCTATCTTTGCAAGGAGAAACCCACTAGAGCGGCTGGAGTACGTCCCTTAAAACCCGGCTCACGCAGATTTCCAGCTTCCACGAGCTTCCCAGGCTGCAGGCGAACCGCGAGCAGGCACCGCTGCATTTCAGAGGCGCGACCAAAGCGCAGGACAACCCTGCCGTGCCCGGAGCCACCCCCGCAGCCCGGTCCCTGCCGTGGGTGGCACCGCTATCGCCACCGCAAACTTTCCGGCCGGGCTCCGCGCACGGCCGGTCCCGCACGGTGTCGCCGGCGCGATGCAAACCCGGAGCGGCTCCGCTCCGCCGAGGGCTGCGGGCTCCCAGCGCCGCGTCCCGGGGAGCGGCACCGGGGGGCTCCGGTCCCAGCGGCTGACGGGGATGGAGCCGGGGAGGGACAGGGATGGACGGGATAAGACCCAGGGAGGGAAGGGAGGAGCGGGGAGACACAGACAGGCACCGGAGAGGCAGAGCGGGACGGGGCGCGCAGCGGAGCTCGGGACAAGGCGGGATGGAGGAAACATCCCCCGGAGCCTAGAGCGGAGCCGCCTTACCTTGACCGCCTCGGCGTGGGTCACCCTGTCCAGGGACTTGCCGTTGACCCCCAGGATCTGATCGCCGACGCGCAGCCCCTCCCGCTCGGCCAGAGAGCCCGGTTCCACCAGCGACACGTAGATGCCCACGCCGTGCTCGGCGCCGCCGCGGATGCTGAAGCCCAGACCCTCGTGGGCTTTGCTCCGGCGGAGCGTCACTTGCCGCAGCTCGCCCGGGACCACCGGCGGCGGGGCGGGGGGCGGCGGGGGGCGGCCGGGCGGCGGCAGGTAGGGCCCCTCGGCCGTGTACTGGTCGAAGAGGAGCTGGTCGGAGCGCGGCAGGACGAGGCGCAGCAGCGGCAGCAGCTGCCGGCGGCGGGGCCCGTCGAGGAGGGCGCGCAGGGAGCGCACCAGGTCGCAGACGTTGCGGCGGCCGTGGTAGGCGTTGAGGCAGAGGATGAAGCGCTCCCGCTCCGCCTCGCTCAGCAGCGCCGTGAGCGCCTGGTGCAGCCGCCGCACGTTCGCCGAGAGCGGCCGCGGCGCCGGCCCCGCCGCCGAGCCCAGCGAGCCCGACGAGGAGGAGGAGGAGTGCACGGACACGCCGTCCAGCTCCGCGCTCATCGCCGCGGCACCAGAACCGCGCCGGAGGATGGAGCGGCCGGACCGGGGCGCGCCGGGGAGGAGCGCAGCCGAGGCGGGCAGGAGCGGACCCGGGCGGGGCAGGAGCGCAGCCCCCCGGGCAGCACCGGTGCCGGCCGGCCCCGCCGCTCCACCTGTCCGTGCGCTCGCCCGCGGCTCCCCAGGAAGTGACGCGGCCGCCGTTGCCGGGAGACGGGTTATACAGAGCGGCCCCGGCGGCGGGACCGGACCCCCCCGCCCCGCCCCAGCGCCCGCCCCCGCGGGACCCGCAATTAGCGCGCCCGCTCATCAGCGCTCATCAGCGCACCGAGCCCTGCCCGCCGCTCAGCGCACAGCGGAGCCCGCGCAGGTGGGAGCTGCGCGGGATGGAAAGTCCTGGCACCCTTCCTCAGCCCTCCCGGGATGGACCGCGTCCATCCCGGAGCTCCCGCAGCTTCCCTCCATCCCAGCATGGCGAGCGCACTCGGGATGGAGGACACACGGCGGAGGATGCTGGGCAGGGATCGGTTTACACCCGAGAACAGCCTGCCCGGCACACGGAGCCGTTACCTGACCCGCGGGGCTGTTTTTCCATTGCCCGGTGTGCCAGGTGTGGGATTGTTGTTACCTCAGAGTGCTGGGCACGGTAACTGCTGAGTTATGGTGCTGGGGATGCACCCGTTCAGCTCAGCACAGGCTTTGTTTTAATCCCACCTAAACGAAATTCAGACACATTTGCTACTGACAGGGTGTTGAAGGGATCTATGATTGGGGGAGCAGTTTTAAAAAGGAGAAATTTAGATTAGATCTTAGAAAGAAATTGTTCTTAAGAAGTGAGTGAGGATGGGGAGACCCTGGCACAGGATGCCCAGAGGAGCTGTGGCTGCCCCTGGATCCCTGGCACTGCCCAAGGCTGGACTGGATGGGGCTTGGAGCAGCCTGGGACAGTGGAAGGTGTCCCTGCCATGGCAGGGATGGAATGGGATGTAAGGTCCCTTCCAACCCAAATCACTCTGTGATGTTGGGTTTGGAGTCCACCCCAAACTCCCAGCAATTAAATCCTCGTTTAGCAAACACAACCACGACAGAGAAGCCCTTCCTGTGAGGGATCCTGGTTGTCCACATCGGATGATCACGAAGCTGGCAGGGCCTCAGGCACACGGTATTGCAAACCAGGATAGGTGGGATTCAGGGAATCACATTCCCACCTGGGATGCTCCTGCACAGGTAGTCTCCCTCTTCTCTGCCTCCACACCCATAACTTGTGACCTCAGACCCAAAAGAGAAGCATCAGGATCAGGAATGAGTGCAGAAATCCAGGGACTGCTTTTCTGGTTGCTGGATGAATTATTTCTTACTACATGAGGTTTGAGTCTCTTTTATGTCTCTGAAGCACCTGAGCAAAGACCATTTTCCATCTCAGTCATTTGAAATCTTTCTGTCTTTGTTGAAGTGCCTTCCATCTGCTACAGTAGAGGAGGATTAAACCTAATTCATCAGATGAATCTTGATAGCAGTAGAATTCATTTTGTTCATGGATATGATGGAAGAGCTTAAACAGCTGCATTACAAGTAGCTTTATGTATTAAAGCTTTGTTGGAGCTCTCAATGCCTTGTTTAAAACAAAACTAAACAAAGCAGATTGCTAATTGAAATTCGCGTTCGAACTGGGGCTGATAAATAAGCAGATGGAGCAGTCAACATTACTGGAAAGAAAAGGGACAATATAGGACAGAGAAGCGAGTAAAAACAAAAATACGCCTACATCAGCCAAACAAAGTGAGAGGAGGGCAACCAAGGTACTGCAAATCTTTGAATTGCACCCAGACACGATGTGAGTGCTCAGACTCCTCTATTTAAAGCACTGCTGTTCCCACCAGCGCAGTGGCTGAGCTCCTCCAGCCTTTCTTAATCCTACACGAAGACTCCCAATGTGTGAACAGGAGCAGATGCAGAGAGAGCTGCCCTGCTCTGCTGCTCCAGCCTGGAGCAGCACATCCAGCCCTTCCCTCTTCAGCTGAGCATGGCAATGCCCAGAGCAGAGCCACCAGGGCTGCTCCACGGCCAGAGCTGCCCAGTGGTGCCACTTGGTCCTGAGCTTTTCACCTCTTCTCCAGAACATCACAGTCAGTTTCCCAGTGCCAGCACAACTCCAATCCTGTGTTACCCAGCAGAAACACACAGAGCAGCTATTTGGGATAATTCTGTTTTCTTGCTGTCACTACAGCCCTGGCAGCAGACACTGCTCATCCTTGGGGTGCCCATCCACTTGCTGCTGCCACAGGACAGCTCTGAGCCTTCCCTTTGGATGTGACCCCTGGTTTAGTTTCTCCTCAGAGAAGTTTTACATTTGGATTGTTCACACATTGGCAAGTTGGATCGTTACCATACACTCCAGACAGGAGCTCCCACTGCTTTCCCTTTGGAGAAGAAAAGGATTGAGGTCTTCTCATGGAGCCTGAGCTTTGAAGTGAATCTGATGGATTTCTGGGGGCTTTTTCCTTTTCATTGCTGTAAACACTAAAGCCAAGCAGTTGAGAGGGAGCAGCACATGGCCTTGGGAAAGAGCAGCTTTCCAGAACCAGAATCATTCCCAAATGCAGAACCACAGGGTTCATGCAGGTCTGGGGCTCAGGAGTGTTCCCACACCTGAGCAAAACCTCTCCAACCTTCCTCAGGCCAGGTGACGCTGCTGAACAAATGCTCCCATCAGCGTGCAATGGCTGTGCAGGGCTCCAAGGGCCAGAGTCTCACCACATCAAAGTGCTCCTTCAGGATTGCCTAGGAGGAAATGGTTCCCTTTGAAGGTGGGGAGGCCCTGGCACAGGGTACCCAGAGAAGCTGGGGCTGTCCCATCCCCAAGTGTTTAAGGTCAGGTTGGAAAGGACTTAGAGCAACCTGGGAAGGTGGAAGGTGTCCCAGCTCATGGCAGGGTGGTAGGACAGCGTGATCTTTATGGACCTCCTAACCCAAATCATTGGTGGTGAAGCTCCATCCCTGGAGGTGTCCAAGGAAGGCCTGGATGTCGCTCTCAGTGCTCTGGGCTGGTGACAAGATGGGGATCAGTCAAAGGTTGGACTTGGTGATCTTGGAGGTCTTTTTCAACCTCAGTGATTCTGTGATGATTTGGAAAGGGAGCTCTGCCAGGGGGGAGTTGGCAGCAAGTACTCAGGGCAGAGGATCAATGCCAGGTACAGACAGCATCACCTACAAACATCCTCTGGAGACAAGATTCATGGACACTGAGAGTCCACAATAATTCCTGGGACAGCTCCTGGCTGAACTGAACCTTTGATAACTGCAGGGACCTGACAGACACCAGCAAAGGGACCTCAGCACCCCCTCACAGTGGAGAGCTCCGGAGCAGTCGGGCACTGCTCATTCCCAGCTTTCAGCTCCAGCACCTGCCTTGCCAGCAGAGTCCCTCAAGGCCAGCAGGAGCCCAAAAGATGTTATTCTTGTGAGTTTTTAAATCATCCTTGCAGCACAAAATAATCCAACGCGTTTGCTAAGTGCCACCTGAATAAATTGCCTAACCTTTCCGCTTTAATCCGCTGTAATCACTTTCCAGAGGCACTCTTTGAAAAGTGAGCTCCGTGTTTCCAGAGCAGCTGTGCTCCTAATTAAAAGGCACTGTAGCAAGAAGCCAACAAAACCTAATTCTGGTTGGAAATGCCTTGCTGCAGTTGGAGGACTGAGGTGAACTGTGAGAAGGGCCAGGGAGGAAGCAGCAGCTGCTTGTGCTGCTTAAGAGAGTATTAGGAGAGGGCTGGCACTCGGGGCTGCCTTTGGCTAAATCCCTGTTTAGCAGATTGGCTCCCAATCCTCTGTCCCTGGCCAGGCTGGTTTGCACAGCTTGGACATGTGCAGGAATCAGCTGAGTGCTGCAGCTGAGTGCTCCCAGAAGGAGCCAGTGCAGAGGGAGAAGCATCCAGAGGCTTTCCAGCAGAATTCCTGGGTGCCTTGGCTTCCAGCACCATTCTTCCTGCAGCAGAGCTGAATCCAGCACAGTGCAGGGAGCAGGCTCAGGCTCATCTCAGCTGCAGATATAACAGGCAGAAGTTGGATTTGAAGGAAAGCTGTAGGAGCAGTGAGAAATCATCATTTCAAGGGAGATTTTTTGAGCTCTGCCTTATGAGCATGAACCACTCACAAGAGGAATGTTTCCAGTGAATGGAGGTTGCTGTGCTTCATCACACCGAGGTCAGTTTGACACATCCCAGCTGGGGCAGGTCCTGAAGAGCAGGGTTCAAGTAGGCAGAGGAGGTAGGAAATTCTGACACTCCTTAAATCCTTCTATATCTGCACATCTACAAATCTCCCAAAGCTCAGTGCCACACTCAGACTGTACCCTAAGCAAAGCCAGCCCCAAACAGCTTCATTTGAGTGGGAATTTGATGGTTTCCATTGTGCAAGAGAACATCAAAGATGAGAATTTTAGCACCAAAACCTAATGTTTCCATGGGGTGGACACCACGGGGTTAGAGTTTATCAGTCATTTAGATAGTGTGGATTGAAAACTGAATCAAATCAAACAGACAGCAGCAGTTTCACCTGTAAACCCAGCCATATTTTCATTTTAAGCCACTGGAATGCTGCAACACTTAGTAAAAACCTAAGTCAAAGCAACTCACATTCAAACAAACCTACATTTGCTCCATTTTCTGATGAAAAAGCCTGTTCAAGGAGCAGAAGCTCCCCCCTGACTTGCCTGCAGTGATTTCTCCACAGTGCCAACACCACTGAGTGTAACCCTGCATGGCAGAGCCGGATGATTTAAGAGCTGCAATCCTCCTCCCCTCTCCAGCAATTTCTTGCACTTATGCACTCTCCAGTCCTGCTTGAAATGCCTGAAAGAAAAAGCCACTTGCGTCATCAGCTTCTTTTTTTTCTTTTAATGCCCAGCACAAATCATGGCTAAGTCACGATGTGGGCCTAGGTGTCAGGGACAGGCAGAGCTGCCACTGGCACAGGATCAGCTCAGTGCCACTCTGATTTGGGCACCTGGGCTGTTCAGTTTGGTGTTTAAGGCCACAGAGCCCTGGGGGCTGCCTGTCCTTGGCTGGGAGAGGTGAGTTTAGTGACCCTGCTTGGTGGGAGGTGTCCCTGCCCATGGCAGGGGCTTGGAGC